TTCAGAATCCGTCAACTCTCTTGCTACGGGCGCTACCACCGCTGTTAATAAAACTGCTGCTGCCACGTTCGATAGTGCTCCCGAGACTAACAGTCCCAATAGCAATATAACCTACCAAACAGAATTCAATCCAAAAAAAGCGGAGCGAAGCAAGGCAGATTTCAACACTATTACAATAGCAAGACGATCACCACCAGTCGACACTCTCGAAAGCAATCTGGTCGCAAGCCTTTCCGTTATATGAAACCTAAATAAAAATGTTACATCAAAACCATGATATCGTCATTACTTCTCCAATGCCTGACCCATGGCGAATCCGGAAATGAATAGGAATATAACCGGGTCGAAGAAAGCTGCAGACACCAGTATTGCAGCTGCAGACGGAGGTAAAGCTTCGGCTAAAATTATGAGGAGCCAATACTGGGGGCGACGACAATTAACATTCTATCGTCCAACAGTTGTGCGCTGCAGAATCCTATCGGCTATGGTAAACAGAAAGCAGTGGTGACACTCTGATTAGTGTAGTAAATCATGGAGTTTCACCCTAGTGATGTGAAAAACACTAGTGAAAAACACATTTCACATTTCACTTCGCGTAAAACGGGTGAAACTGCAATGTTAAGAGGATCTACCGGAAGACTCAACGGGTGATCAACACTATAAATAACGATCATCTAGTATAGTTAAGTCTGATGTAAGTCAGCAGCTATTCATGACTTCAGGCGCTCTGTCCAATCCGCTTGAATACAGTATTGGAAGAATATATGTTCGCTCTCCTCAGCTGAGCTGAATTCTAGGATATTTTATATACGAAGCAGGCTAGGTTTGTTTCATATTTCATATTGTCACCGACACACCTAGTTGACCTTCACACTCGGATCAAATACCAAGCAAGTTGAATCTATTCCTAATAAAGAACCCCGAAGTAGACACGACTCTACCAAATTCCTTTTTTTAATAATCATCTCGCCTCACATTCTCCGATTTCACTTCCAACAATCCTGGCAGGAACCAACGCCATTGACGATGGATCTGGAACCCGCATAACGCGAGAAACAACCTGAGGAAGCTCCATGAGAGCACAGACAGTGAGGGAGTGCCAAGCCGCGACACGTCACACGGTCGAATTCGATATTCATATACCAACCATGAGCGATCAGACCTCCCGATACTACAATAAGCAGCCCCAAATGAAGCGAAGTGACATACGGCGGCCAGGGCTCGAGAACCCACCAGATGGCCGCAGCGACCAGGATCCCCAGACATCGCTGGGCGGCAGCGTCAGCGGAGGGGAAACCAAGGGGAAGTAGCTGAAATAAAAATCAATATGAACCGAGAATTACTAGTATATACCAAAAACGAGCTGTTCATAAGCTGGGCCAGCGCCTTTCATCTCGAAAGGCGTATAATTTCTATTACCGCAGCGATGCTTCCCGCAACTAGCCCAATCCCAGCCGAGATGAACTGTCGATTCGACGGCCAGGAAAATCTTGACGAGTAAGGGCTGAAAAAAACCAATATATCCGAACGATCAATCCTTTAAACGAGGCGAGGTCGACTAGAGCATAGAATATTGAATACATTCGGGGGGAATCAAATTGGTCCGAATTGTGGTATCTTAGGTGACGGAAAGAAAGATACGAAACAGGTCCGGTCGTGACCATTTTCGGCTTGGATTTTTTGGGGCAGATATGCCAAAGGTTGCGGATCTCACCATGGCAGTCCAGAAGATTCTGATGACATGCATATGAGCCACTCATAATCTCTATCATGATACATATTACTCATTCATAATCATCAACAGTGCGGATACTGGTCGCGCATAATCATTAATGATGTGAATATCAATCGATCACAATACGTACGAGAGTATATGCAGGTGACCTCACAAAGAGCTCTTAGAAAATGTGTTCATACAGTACGACTGCATATCAATCTGCTAATATATTCATGGGAAACTTAGTGGCATATAAAACAGGCCTGGATAAAAAACTGTCTTTAAAAACGACATCGGTGAAAAAGTCTCATGCCCTGTCTGATATACAACGATACATTTTAATAACCTGATTGTCCCACATAGTACCTCCTCGCTTTAGGAACCTCCCGGTCTTCTTCCTCTTCCATTATCGTACCACCCATGATTCTATTAATCTTCCGCGTGCGTGTCGCGTCTCGCTTACCATCATCTTCACTTGACGATGAGGACGACGAGGATGACTCACCGATGTGTATAGAACCGGAGACAGGTCGATAGCCTTTCGATCTGACGGCCATTATGAAGGTGATTAACTCTAACTGACAGGTAACTAACAAGAACTTTTTGATCCCCCCGATTAAAACTGCTTCATAAATCTTGTTATCTCGACCGTTGGAGGGGGCATCACACACCGCATTTCCAGTTGGTTCAAAAAAATACACTTACCCTAGTTTCTCAAGTTTTTACCGTTCTGATGTGAGTATCGAGTTAGTGGAAGAGGCCTCATATTATCTGGGGGCTCAAGGAGACCGTGAAGGCTACACCACCGGGCCCACGTAGAAAGTCGCCATCAAGTTGGACTGTCCCCCAATGTGCCTCGGCTTTGGTCCCAAAACATTGAATTGTGAGAATGCGGTTCCCCTGCCACTTTATTGCCTCCCAAAGACGTTGCACGATACACTCTACCGGGTTGAAAAGTATATATAACAGAAATGCTATCTCATATAGGATCATATGATATATGTGCCATGTATTATATCATTCTCTTTCACCAGTATGCTCGGCGAGCGCTACTCTAAGATATTAATCACGAGGAGTGTGAGCACAGTGTGACTAATTTATCACGTTGCTATAGCATCCAAGGTCCCTATCACAACCCCAAAGCCACAACTGCACTTTTCCACTTCAAGTTGCCGCATAGAAGAGACTTGCACGCGGCGCTGGAAAAAATGTGGAAAAATATCTCCCGCGGGATTCGAACCCCGACGGGTTGTAGGCCTCATCAAAGTGTCTTAGTGCCCTCGTATGGCGAGCAGATTATTATGAGAAGACTTCATCTGAATTGTTAGGGAACGCAACGAGCAGCCGCGAGAAAATAAACTTACAATCAACATCGGATGTAACACCGTGTTGTATACGTAATACACGGCCCACCGCCGACTTTGTCTCGCTGCAAGCGCTGATGACAGGACAGATGGTCCGGGTGCCATACGCAAGCTTTATGATGCCGCCGGCCAATCAGAATAGTGCTTATGCATCGCTCGATTACGCTTCTCACTCAGTCTATAGATGTGCTGCCGACCGCGAAGATGTGATTGTGATGCGGCGTAGTTGGTCAACCTGACTCTACATTCTTTGCAATGCATCGCACCAGAATAGTCTCGAACATCCAAGCACTGATCAAGTTCGGTAGGACCTACGAAGGAGTTGAAGACTACAACTTAGAGAAGTGATTTCTCACGCTTAGGCATTGGCGGCCTCCAGCGTCGATGATCGATATCATGCGTATGTGCCCAAGCCTCATAGGCTGAGCCTGCTATATGTGCATCACAGACATGGCACTGCCAACCATTCGGCAGTTGGACTATGTCGTTGATAGCGATGAGGAACCTCTCATGATCTGTGATGATGCTGCTGCTGCCGCTGTTGCCTTCGTGCGGTGGCTGCGGTCGACGAGGCGAAGTCGGGACGGTATCAGGAATGTGGAAATTCGAGTTACCACCCCAATCTCCCATGGCCGTAAATGCTGATCCATCCATACTCAATGCGCATGAGAAAGTGATTCCTCCCTAAACTCGGGCACCGAATATCCGAAAGATTCGCAAAGAAGGAGCCTAGGCGTGATCGGAACATAAGACTTCTCAAACACCACAAGAGTAAGAAGGAACGAATGAATTGGGAATACCCAGGAGGACATTTTACAGTATAATATTTATACAGCTCGAGCCATGAGCATGAGAAACCTACTACAGCGTTCGCCAGCCGAATTTCGCCTTCTGGGAACGTCTCTGTACTGAGGCTCCTCTCGCGTGCGTGCGACTGCTTAGAGCGACTGCCATGAAGCGCAACAGATCTGTCCAGGAGCCCACACGTATCCGATGAAACGAAGAAGACGAGTGCCCCTAGTATCCCTCTTGGTCACCAGAAGGATACGCAAGCTCCGAGCTCAGCATCACAGGAGGTGTGAGGCTCATATTTCCTGTGATGCTGATCTCGGAGTTTGCTAGTAGCTCAGGCTCATACTATGAGCGCGAGTTACGGTAACATATGAATTGTCCACGACGTTCTCACACCACGTGATATGAAACCATACCATTGAGATGATGTGGGATTATTTATCCGTAACCAACGTACGGGATGTTTAGTCTCGTGCTCCGTAAATTGCGTAAATCCTACCTATGGCTCTCACCCTAAGAAATACCAAAATACCACATAAAAGTTATCCGTCTTTCCATCGATGGTAGTAGTAAAGATTACTAGCAGAGAAATATTAAAGCCATATTATTATTGGCAGAGACAGAAGGGTAAGGTATGTTTCAAGTTCCCCAGTACTAGAGGGAAAAGCTATGCGTTTGCGTGCCGCGTGGTGCGGTCCGCTGCACGCATGAACAACAACAATGCTTGGTGGTACCATTAAACTGAGTATATAGCTTAGATGAGCTGGGATAATACACAGTGACCCACAGTAGTATTGGACGACATGGCACAACTCTCTGAAGAGTTGTATATCCGCGATTATCACGGAGGAGCTCTAAACACTGAATAGAGCTCATGAGCTGAAGAAGTCGTGCTGCATCGTCGAGCGCACGCCCAAGCGGAGGACGATATGCAGATCAAAGAAACAATTCTTCTGGGGACCTCGAGTCCACCCGTGCTAGGGCTAGGCGCGTAGCCCTATGCGAGTTCTCGTCACGTTACACGAGAAATGCACACACGTGCATCGCGAGGCGAGACCACACACGTTTTACACCGAGAAACAGTGTTTATCGGAATATTAACTACGTTACAAAACCTGACCCCAGTCTACCAGCTTCTGAAGACATCCCTGGTGTACTTGCGAGGATTCGGCTAAGGACGATATATGCCGCCATGTCGCCTATGCGATATTTGCTGTAGCAACAGATACTTCCCCTAGGGCACAACAACAATGGGATTAAATATTTGCTTATTTCGAGTAGCCACCAAAACGCAAGGAGAAGAAGGAGGATACGAAACTCAGAAGCTCTGTGAGATATGGCTTGAATGAACAAAAGAGGAAGTCCAGGAGAGCTCCACGCAGCGAGCGGAGTTCCAAATGGAATTGTCCGTCATCAGCAATGGTATTTTAATGACATCAAAACTACTTTATTTCAGATAGAGAATAATATATCTATAACTTTCACTACAATCTTTTCAGGATCTCATATGCGACTAATGAATAAATCTTCCAAAGAGCT